ACTATGCGGACTCCCAACACCCCTGTCCACCATATGGTGAACAGTCGGACTGTCCGACACTCCCAACACCCGTCATCACTGGTCAGCCGGACTGTCGGGACTCCCAACACCCCCGGTCTCCAAGAACTAGTGGTACTGTTTATGGCGCACCCCCTCTCCCAAAACTCCCGGATCTGCTGATCTTCTCGTCTATACAAACATCGAAATGACTGCAGACTTGAGAATCTTCAACGCTATCGGCGTTAACCAAACCCACAGACAGACCACTGCTTTGATTGCCTTCAATCCATACCACGAGATATGAAGAGATGCTCTCACTATCTGTAAGACGAGTGCTTTGTGTCCAAACGCCAGGACTAATGGAACCCATAAGAGAAGTCCGAGAATGTGTTCAACTCCTATGATATCTGTGATGAAGAACTTCAGTGTTTTGAATATCACTTTAAGTGTCCGTATAGTCACTGATAGCAGACATAGTCTTCCGCTTAAAGTATCGATCACTTGACATGAAAACCATTTTGTAATGATTGCAATGATTACTAGTGTTTGGATGAATAGGATTGCAAACCATCGAAGAATTTGAATCACATTTGAGACAATTCCACACATTTTGGTTTCTTTTGAGATTTAACTGATTTTAAGAAATACTATTTTTATTTTGAAATCTTGTTTTTATTGTTTATTTGTTGTAAAATTGTTTTTAAAATCAAGTGTGAAATTATTATAAATTATTTTAATTGCAAAATTAAGATTTCTTATATTGTTGTTTTAATTACATATTAATTCAAATATTAAATAAAATGATTGTTTATTTAATCAAATCCCATGGCTTGCAAGCCTAGAAAATAATTATTTTGCACTACATATAGAATTATATAATTAACTTAAAGTTTATTATTTATTAAAAAATTATAAAAACATCAAAATAATACAGTATTTTACAGTAAGAAAAAATAATAAAATAATAATCAAAACCAGACAAATAATTTCCACAACGTATCAAAACAACTTTGGTTTTGTGTACTGTATTAGCACTTATATTATTAATGAATGTCTTCATAAATGTATTAGGCCAGGATCTATTATTAATACCACAACTATTTTATTTTTATAAAATTTATAAAAATAAAACACTTAAATATTTAATGTTTTTTGAATATTTTGTTAATAGTTTTATATTAAATATAAATTTATTTTATTGTTATGAAAATTATGTGCACTTATCCTAACAAAAGGGAAAACTAAAATAAAATGGATATTTTTTTGTGAAATGCAATTTAGTTGATCGGAAGTTCCTAATGTACTGTATAGTCAATACTATTGTCCACATAGTGTACAATACAATTGTTGTGTATAATATGCACTAAAATTATTTGATTTATTTCAATATAAAAAATATATTCATAAAGTTTTTGTCATTCATTAAACAAATAAATTAAATATAAATTTAGACAAATAAATTCTTTATTTATCACTTAAAATGCACATAAGAGTGGCCGCATTAGAGGTATGTTATTATAATATTAATCATAAACATAACTAGAAGTAATTTATTAATGCTTTAAAAGTTTAAACCAATGGTTATATTAAACGATCGCAAGAGTGATATAAGTGCTGAGGGAGTGTTCGGCGACTTTCTTCACTATATGCTCACAAAAATTAATATAAGGTTTCAGTGAATAATACACAATTAATTAAGTTAATAATTAATTATACAGTATTATTGTTTTAAAAAGCTATACAATAGTAAGGCCTAAAGACAACCAATGGGGTGTACATGAGAAGGGAAAATGGACTGGCCTGTACGGTATGATTTACAATAACGTAGGCTATATTTAAACATTTTTAGCATGAGGTTTAACATGGTATTTAATATGAAACAGGAGTCTGACATGATATTGGGTCCGTCGGCCATCACTTCTGAGCGCAAATCAATTGTCAAGTTCTCGGAGAGTCTGTACACCGACGAGGCGGCCATTCTGTGTGCGCCCTCTCGACAGCCCTATTACAAAGATATATTCGCTCATTTGAAGCACCTAGATCACATCACTTATTTGGCAATCATCGCATCCACACTATCCGTGGCTATGGTTTTGGCCATTGGTTTGAAAATTAGTTATTTCCGAGCCTTTTGGATGACATTCAAGGCTTTCTGTTATAAACGTACAATGAATTTGATATTTATTGATAAAATTTTTCAATTTTAAAATTTATTTCAGCGATTGATATGTATCTGAAACTGAATGTGGGGACAATAGTATTGATGGTGTACTCAATAATGATGGTATTGTTTTGGATTGACATCAATAAAGTGATCGGCGCTTATTTGGTCACTAATCAGGCGGAAGATGTGATCAAATCTCTCGAAGACATTGTCGACAACAAGAATATTATTCCCAGCGCTAATAAAGGCGGTATTTTTCACTACTATTTTAATGTAAATATAATATTTCGCTTATCTATGGATAAAAAAAATATGTTTATATAAACTTTTTTAACAATCATTTCCCAGAATAAAGACGACCCGATAGAGAGCCAAATCTGGTCCCGAATGGTTGACCACAACAATCAGGGTATTATAGCAACGCATGAAATGAGTGGCGCGGCCTTTATCGATGATATCAGAGCCAAAAGGCGTGTACTTATCAGTGTTATGAGTGGAGTGGTTCTCAATGTGATCAAGTTTTGTCAAACGGATCCCAAACTCAATCTCTTCATATCCACTAACT